TTCACTTTATTATAATCATAAGCTATCAATATATCCACGAGTGTACAATATCTCTTGGGCTCAATAATTATCAGATAACATACCTTAAACAGCAGTTACGTCCCAATGTAAAGATTCTAATATGAAGTTCCACGTGTAATCAATTACTTAGCCTTAGTTAAGTTTGTTTGTTAAAATAGTTTTTCCCTCCTTTTTCTTATATTAGCTAATGTGTAACAGTTCATTTATATAAAGGATTGTGACTTCAATGTAAACTTAGTTCTTTGTATAATCTCTTCTAATAATAAGAGAAACAATGTTACTTTCTCTCTGATAAGATGGTATCAGATTTGCAAAATTTTCTTTACTAATCTTCAAGATTTCAAGTTCTTCCGATGTTCTTTCTCATGGCGAATTATGCTGATTTTTTCACCAATTCAGGAAATCCTTACTCAATATCTCACACTAACACAGGTAACCCAAAATATCCTCCCACTTCTATTTTGTCTTATAATTCATGTTCACCCTCATATACCTAGTTTTGTTGTAATGTCACTGCCAATCTGGAACCAAAAACTTATACTCAAGCTGCCAAATTGCCACAATGGCAATAGGCTATGAAAACTGAGCTTGATGCTCTTGAATTAAATCACACACGGTCAATTGTTGAATTACCTGCAGGGAAGAAACCCATCAGTTGCAAATGGGTTTACAAAATAAAGTATCATTCGGATGGAAGTATAGAAAGATACAAGGCCAGGCTTGTGGCCAAAGGGTACACCCAACTTGAAGGGATTGATTATTTTGACACTTTTAGTCTAGTTGCAAAACAAACAACAATTTCAGTTTTGTTATCCATTGCAGCTTCTAAAAACTGATTTCTTGAACAATTAGATGTAAACAATGCTTTCTTACATGGTGACTTGAACGAGGAGGTTTCTATGGAGCTTCCGTCGGGTCTCTCAAGCTTCAAATCTAATCAAGTGTATAAATTGCAGAAAAGCTTGTATGGATTAAAACAGGAAAGCAGACAATGGAATGCAAAATTGTCTTCGACTCATATATCCCTTGGGTATGTTCAATCATCAGCAAATCACTCATTTTTCACCCTTAACAATGCATCTTCATTCACTGCCTTACTAGTGTATGTAGATGACATTGTCTTAGCTTGAAACAACGGTGACAAAATAAAAAGAATCAAACCCTATCTAGACAACAAATTTCAAATTCTTGGATCCCTACGATTTTTTCTTGGTCTTGAAATATCACGAGCCAAAGTTGGCATCATGTTAAACCAGCGCAAATATGCACTAGAAATTTTTTCTGATTGTGAGCAGCTTGCAGCTAAACCAGCCACTACACCAATGGATCCTAACACAAATTTGAATCGTGATCAAGGAACTCATCTTTCTGATTTTCCTTCGTATCGAAGATTGATTGGCAGACTTTTATACTTGACCACAACTTCTCCTGATCTCTCCTTATCTGTTCAACAACTAAGCCAGTACGTTTCTCAACCTACTGACTTACATCAAACAACAGCTATTTGTATTCTTCGCTATCTCAAGGTTTCACTAGCAGCTGGTCTCTTTTTCTCTTCAGCATCATCAATTCAGCCCCCTGGTTTTGCTAATTCAGACTGGGCATGTTGCTTAGACACCTGAAAATCAGTAACAAGTTATTGTGTTTCTATGGGCTCCTCTTTGATTTCTTGGATATCGAAGAAACAAACAACAGTTTCAAAGTCCTCAACTGAAGCTGAATATCGGGCATTAGCAAGTCTCTCTTGTGAAATACAATGGCTACATTATCTACTGAAGGATTTTCAAATACTTCACACCAAAGTTGCGTCTGTGTATTGTGATAATGCTTCAGCTATATATCTAGCTCATAACCATTCATTTCATTGGAGAACAAAACATATTGAAATAGATTGTCACGTTACACGTGAACGGATAAAATCTCGACTTATTCATCTTCTACCCGCGACTTCTACCAATAAACTAGCTGATTTTTTTACTAAGGCTTTACATGTGAACGTCTAAACTACATTTATCACCAAGCTCGGCCTTCGGGATATCCACTGGCCAGCTTGTGGGGGGTATCGGATAACATACCTTCAATAGCAGCTGTGTCTCCATGTAAAGATTCTAATGTGAAGTTCCACGTGTAATCAGTTACTTAATCTTAGTTAAGTTTGTTTGTTAAAACAGTTTTTTCCTCCTTTTTCTTATCTTAGCTAATGTGTAACAGTTCCTTTATATAAAGGACTGTGACTTCAATGTAAAGTTAGTTCTTTGTATAATCTCTTCTGGTAATAAGAGAAACAATGTTACTTTCTCTCTGATAAGAATAATCAAGTGCCCAACCCAAGACTACGCAGTACACTAGAATTACCTATCTCTTAGCTAACCCAACATCCTTTAATGAGATTCTCTAGCTATTTTTACCAAAAAAAATACTTTTACGATGTAATTCTTTTATTTATTTATTTTAAAAAGTTATTAATTGCAAGAATTGGTATTTAACTTCATGTTAAATTGCATCAAAATCAGGTCTTTACATGAGAATTTTCACAAATGTTTTTCCCAATTGTTTTATGTTTCTACCTAACAAAAAAAACCCCTAAATATTACAAATTGGAAGAAAACCTTGTTAAAAATTAGAACTTTTGGTACAGTTAAAATCTGTATAATTTGTCTATTGAAAATCACATAAGAAATGCTTGATAAAAAAACCTTAAAAATGTGTTGGAACATTGCTTGGAAGGTCCTCCTATGGTGTTGGAAATGGGTCAATCCGCCACAGGAAGAAGATAGAGATTATACCTCTTTGATCCACAACACCCAGTTACATTCTTTGAAAGAGAGAGATAGTGCGGCGTCCACAGATGAAGTTTTTCAATGTTGCTTGTTTTAATTTGTTGCACTCCATTCTTCAAATGTGATTTTTTGGAAAAAAATTTCATACTTTTTTTCTACAATAAATATTAATATTTTTTAAAAAAATGTTAATGTTGTTTCGCGATGCATAAAAAATGATTAAGACATGATATATTGAGATGCATATGATCAAATAATTGAAGTGATCCTTCTATTTGGAACTAAATATTTATAACATTAATTATTATTGGCAATAATATAATATAGGCTTCCGATAAGGCCATGATAAAAATGGACTAAAGTCAATATAAATTAGGTAAGATTCCGTCTTCATTCACATAAATATTATGGGTTCGTTTTTTCTGCAGTTACTGCAGATAAGTTATCTGCAATAAGTCTAATATGACGTCATTTTGGGACGGAAATCATAATGTTTTTGTAATTTTAATTTATTTTAGGGATATTATAATCTTTGTAATTATAATTTTTTAATTTTTCAATATCAAAACAACATCATTTTGTAAATAGATGTAGATAATTTATCTGCAGTAACTGCAGAAATATTTTTCTCAAATATTATAATCCCTCTATAACTTGGCCCTTACATATGGAGTTATGAATACAGAGTGTGAATTGTAGCACTTTCAGGTGAAGCATGTCAAATGCTTGAAATCTTGAATTATGTTTTTAAGTATAAAACTTGTGTTTTAATTTCATATATTTCACACACTTTTTATTTGAATATAATGATAGAACTTTCGAATCAATAATCTCATCAAACTATTAAAGCCTTCCACTATTAACCTACTCCTACTCTTTATATTTCACGCATTTTTGCTTACACTTGTTATTAAGTCTAAACATTATTTTTATTAAGGTTTATTTTTTTAAATTATTATAAATAACTTTGTTTAATGTTCACCGAAACAACGTCGTTTTGGAGCAGAAACTATTGTAGGTTTGTAATTTTAATTTATTTTAGGATTATAATAGTCTTCATCATTTTAATTTTATAATTTTTTAACTTCAAAACGACATCGTTTTGGTGAACATTAGACAAAGCTGTCTAAAATAACATTAGATACTTTTTTTTCTTCTTATTAACTCAAATTTGAGTAGTTTTGAAGTTTACCACATAGCTATTGACCAATTATAAAGCTCTCTAACCTAACTGTATGTTAGTAGTTATGCAATATATTCTCACCCGATCTATGTTTAAATTTCCATTACTCATGTCATTTGTACTCCCCTATTAAAATTAAAAATAGGGTTGAAATAAATGTAATTAGGTGAATGATGTTTTGTAATTCTAATGTGTAACATGAGTCCTCGGGAGTACTAATTAAAAAGTTATCCCCAATTTAGGCATACGGAGCAACACCAGCCCAACCCTATTAATCTTGGCTTTGTGGTATATTTATTTGCCAATACCCTTGTTTTTTAATTTTAGTCATTCAGTTGAACAATCATTTCAACTATTATACCTTGCGTCAGTTTGCAATGACTCAAACATTTTCAAGAGAAAAGTTATAAAGTAACTAAAACAGTTGAGTTTTGGAGAATATCTTCTGTGCTATAGCATCTTTATGTGTTTTACATTATATCAAATTATTCTCTTTCATAATTTTAAAATAAATTATTTATTATTAATTTAATAAAAATAAAATACATATCACAATATAAGTGGAAGATACACCAATTTTACAGTGCATCCGTAGCACCAAAGAAATTTCCTGAGTGTGTACGAAAACCATATAAAGAACCAATTAAAAGAGAGTGTGTACAGAAAGTTGAGTGTCTTGTAGCATTTCCCTTATACCTTTTGATGTGCAAGATTTGTGATTTAAAAACAATTTGGAATGTAAATGAATATCAGAGAGAATAAATTAACTTTCTCATTGCAATTTCGCTACATGCTCAAATTAGACAAAATAAATAATCGAATTCAAGAGCCACATATTAGTTCACTAGTATTCAAAATTTAAGGAATAAAGAAAGGAGGGGTAAAAAAAAAAGATTAAAGAACGCTTATTATAATTACTTTCTCAATATGAAACATTAAAAATTTAAGATCTCTTCCTAGTCTTCCATATATCAACTGAAGGAAAAGATTAGTTGATTAAGTCAAATAAGATTGAATCATTTGGCAAGAGAGTGAGATGATGAGGCATTAGAGCATGCTACATGAGCAACAGGAGCAGATCCTTGTCTATTCAAAAGCTCACGAGCCAATGCTTGAAGATCACCACCACTACTGCTAGTGGTTGTTGATGGACCACTACCCAAAAATTGATGTGGGTCTATGGGCCTCTGCTGCATGGCCCATGAAGAAGTTTGGGCCATGGGATCAAAAAGTGAAGATAAGTCATATGTAGCTGGCACGGTGGAGGAAGAGGCTGGTGGAAGGTCAGCTATTGAGATCACTGGTGGGGCCATGGTTATTTGGGGCGGAGAAGGTGGTGGTGGATGGGGTAACTCTAGTGTGGCAAGGTGACCTTGTAAGTAGGAGAGTTCTGCTTGTAAACTTACCACCTGTAGAACAAAGAAGCCAAAAGGGTCATGAACAAAAAAAATGTATGCATTGTAATTAGTAAAGTTTTATTATACTAAACAATTCTCATTAAACCTCGACCGAGGATGGTAGAGTGAATGTAATCATTGTATGCAGCCTTATTTTTACATATATGTAAAGATGTTATTTTTCGAATTCAAACATGTGACCTTTCAATCACAAAAAAAATAACTTTACCACTACTCTGGATTCGCCATCAGTATTATTTGTAAAATTTTGTTATATTGAAAAAAAAAACTTATAAAACAAGTGAGGGAATTTATGTGGGGCTTTAGAGCCTGTTTGGATCCTCTCTTTTTTACGCTAGAAGCTACTTATAAGCTAAAGCTAAAAAAAGAGCTTAAAACAAGCTAAAAGCTGTTTGGTAATCTCATAAATTTTTTAGCTTAAAAGCACATATTTTAAGAAAATTATCTCTCTCTCTATCTTATAACTCTTCATTTTTTTAAAAAGCACACAATTCAAGAAAAGCAGATAAGAGCTTAAAAAAAGCTCATCCTAAGAGCTTTTAGCTTTCAGCTTTTTTCTTCATTATAAAAATAAGAGGTTTTCATTATAAGAGCTTTTCTCAAAACTTATTTGTCTAACTTATACTTATAAATAGTTTCTAACTTAAAAAAGAGAAAATTCAAACAGACATTTAGTCACCGATAGAATTATAATTAAAGACACGTTTATGTTAATAAAAAGTGAGAACTTCAAGCTGGTTCATGACTAAGGAACACCTTATATCATGAAAGGTGGATATAATTAAAAAAAGTTTGGGGCCAAGGGGATTCTTTGTGCACATTCCCGTGGATCCTATTTTTAATAGGACCTTGAACAACACAAAAATGTTGAGTTTCATAAAGTGAATGGACTTAATTAGAATGACAAGTATGAAAGCGTGACTTTAAAAGAAACTTCTCGAGGTTATAAAACATTGTGGGAACCAAGTCATTTTGGGGAAATAAGCAAATTAGTATGATTAGACTAATGAAGAAAAAAAATTGATCGTTTGAAATAATACTAATTTGAAAATGATTAATTTATTTAAAAAACAGAGTTCCATTTTAGATAAACCACATTTTTCATGAGAAATAAACTTATTCGAGCCGAAAACATTTATATCACGGTAGAAATAACTCTCTTAATTTTTTTTTTTATATTCACAAGAACTTAAATCCAAAATCTTATTATAGCAGAATTAAATATTTACCACTTGAACCAACTTTTTTTTATTTTAAAATCAGAAATTTCTGACAATGACCAATTATGAGGACATAGGGATTAGCTAATTAGTGATTGTATAATATAATGAAAATATTTTACTGATTTCTAAGATAGGGAGATGACTATTACTTAAACAGTCACATGACAGTATATTATAACATTATATATTCATGCGTGTGTTCGCAATATATAATTCTTTTACAATTCTTTTACAATTCTTATTTGTTTATAATCTTTTTGTTTTATTTGAACTTATGCTCACATAACTTTGAACACATAGGAATAGCAACAAAAGCTAAGGACAATTCACATATATAATCACCACTTTAGATCTCATACATGTTCATAATTAATAAATTCGTAAAAATGACAAAAAATAAAGAAAAAGAAAAGATTGCTTGTTTAATGGTGTCTTCTCTTTCTCACACCCCATCTCTATTTTCCAAAAACAAAAGAAAAAGAAAAAGGGTGGGGTTAATTACTATGAATTTTTTTAATAAAGGTCTATTTTTTTATAAAGGTCTATTTTATAAGAAGAATAGGGACAGAAAAACGTACTACTCCTGTGAAAATTGGCAAAACCCAAGAAACTAACCGACCATCTTCCCTAAAACAAGCGAAAACCAAGACATTTAATGGTTCAAGTCATAGACTATTAGAGTCTACCCATTTGTGTAACCGCCGACCACATGATTTCTTAATCAATTAAGCATTGTGGATTTCAGTAAAAAAAAGCATAGAAACTGTCCCCTAATGCTCCATGGCTCTTTGCATGCCCTACCCTTGTTTCCTCTTTCCCCAAAGGCCCAAACCCAACTTTTGTTCCTCTTTTAGAGGGCACAAAGCCCTTGATCAAGAATGGAAGGTACCTCTCATTAAAAACTATAAAACATGTTAAATAAAGAAATGAACGGATTCCATAAAGTTTCATCACAGGCTATAAATATATAAATCCATCAACTTCATCCTCGATAAGCCCAAAAAGGAAAATAAGAATAAATAAAAAAATTAATTATTCTTCTCCCGTTTTTCTTTCCCAACTGGCTCGACTCGGCTGGCTGAGTTTTACACACTCAAAAGCAGGACAGAATGGACTGATTTATTTTTTAGCGGGCTGAAGAGGAGGAGAGATGGGTTAGTGTAAAACATGTTCGGGCCGACAGACGAATTCATTCTGCCCACCAAACAAGACAGGGTAGGTCGAGTTTTTCAATCCACTTTCAAAAGCAGGCGAGAGTGGGCTACCTCATTTTTTGACGGGTTAACAGCGTCCGGCCCGCCCATTTTCCCACTTCTACCCTTGATAGTTTAGTGTTACAAAATTAGCATCAAAATTCAAAACCATTCAAATTTGAAGTGGGGGTTTAATTAATCATCTTTTCGATGCTTGGCTAAAAAATAAAACGGGGGTTACATTATACTTATATATGTGGTCTTTTCGGTTTCTGCCAAGTACTGACATGTAAATTAAATAGTAAATTAAAGTATATACCATTTACAAAAAAAAAAAGTATATACCGTCCACACCTACAATCTATAACCTTATAATTCTAAATGTCTAGAAATAATCCATAGTATGGTTCTTATTCTTAATTAAGTCAAGAAAAGAAAAAGAAAACCACATTCTAAGATTCACCTAGCTAGCTTCTATCGCTGGCAAAAAAAAAAAAAAAATTATCAGGGAGAAGATCCTGATAAGACAGCCAAACAAGCAAATAAATAATTAATAAACATGCCAAGATGTAACAACATCTTCATCCTTATCTAGAATCACATGATCGTTAAGGTATTCTATTCCAAAAAAAAACACTAATCAATCAATTATTAATTAATTAATTAATTACCTGTTGCTGAAGAGCGAAGATATGAGCAACGCAACCATACACGGGGTCTCTCAGCCGTGCCTGAGCTTCATAACAAATGGTGACCACCGCATCAAGCCTCTTATGAACCGGAATGTTCAGAAGAAGCTTAGAAACGTTGCTGGCACCGAAAACTTTGTGAACCGCCGCAAAGTGTGTGGCACCTTGTTCTGAATCGAAGTATGGTGCAAAGATACAACCCTGCACGCACTTCCTCCTCAAAAACTTGCACGCGCCACAAGGGCCACCACCACCGACGCCGTTACCACCGCCGGTGTTGCTTCCACCACCAGCACTTCCGCTACAACTAGAGTTTATACTCATCTTTAATGGGTTATATATTGTTCTTTTTTTGTTTTTGATTAGTGATATAATTAAGATTGTAACTTTTTATAGGAAGGTGTTGAGGGGCATGTGATTAGGTTAAGAAAGTAGTGTTTGTGGGGTTCATAGAATTTGAAGGAGAAAGAGGAAGAGAAGAAGAAGAAGAAGAAGAAGAAAGGGAATGGTGGTGTTTGTAGTAATTTAGGGTTTGGTGGGGTTAGTATTTTAATGATGGATTTTAAAAAGGTTAGAAGAAGTCTTTAAAGCCACGCGAGGGAGCAAAGACTTAACCCCCACATTTTTAGTTGCTTGCGTGAAGCAAACATGCGATAAGTCCCCTTATTACTATTATCTTCAACTTGTTATCTTTCATTTCATTCAATGAAAACTCACTCGTGCTCTTAAACACACTCTCTTAATTATAGCTAGTTGTGTATTCATTCATGTAATGGGAATGAATGAAGGAAAGCTTTTGATTTGGAGAAGAGTAGTACTGTTGTGATGTAAATGTTGAAAGAGGTTGTTTTTGTTGCAGACTCCAAAAGGAAGGTTTAAAATAAGAAATTGTGAAAACGTGTCAAGGGAAGTGACTAATATTTGCCTCTGCGTGTTTTAAGCTGCGTGGAGGCAAAAAGACGCCAACTATACTTTTTCACTTCTTTCAATCACATAAGGGTTGAAAATGACACACTTTTTCTCTTCCTCTTCTTTGCAAAATGCCAAAACGCTTCGCCTATGAGTTTTGGACTTACGTTAGAAAATGATTTGAGCCTCCCCAAGTTCTCTTAAATTGGATAATTAATTTGTGTTTTTAAAATATTTGGAGTTGGTAATAAAATAGTGGATGCTGAATAAAGAGTGAATGTGTGTGTGAGAGGGAGAGGAGTTGCATCCCAGCTAATGTAGTTATTAGACTTTGTTCCTTACCAGAAAAGAAACATTTACATTTTATGTTTAGTGTATTTTAAAATAAAATAAAATTGGATATATAATTGAAATAATTTAATTTAATTTTATTAAAAAAGTTAAACTCTAAGAGAATAGAACTAAATAAATTGTTACATGTATAAAAAATAAATAATTTTTTTTAAACATACTCTAATTATCTCTTTGAAGCAAGTAGGCTCCTCCCATATCCCTACAAGGTTTGATTTTTTGAGTTGATTATAAGACTAATCCAGAGTACAGTGTGAGTTAGAAATAAAGAGTTTAAACCCAAAAATAATATATATATATATATATATATATATATATATATATATAAATGGGGATCGAACCAAAATCTTTTATTTTTCACTGCTCAACTCTTATGCACCAACTGAATTATCACTAAAATATTATTTTATTTAGGGAAAACTTCAAAAAAAATCCCTATAAATTTTTTCAAGTATCACTTACCCCCTCGTAAATTTTTTGAATAATTTGTATCATTATTTAAATTTTTTTTATCACTTACTCCTTGACTTAAAGTTTTTTATTACTTATCTCCCTAAATGAGGAGAGGTAAATGATAAAAAAAAACTTTAAGTTAGGAGGTAAATGATTCAAAATTTTGGGAAGGGAGTAAAAGATTATAAGGGAAGTTACAGGGTTTTTTTTTGAAGTTTTTCCTTTTATCTATGTGAAGAATTCTACCAAAGACTGACACTCGACCATGCTAGTTAAAATCAAAATTTTATCTAAAATCAGGAGGATGAAACATAAAATCGTAAAATGTAAAATTCTAACATAAAAAAATTCGTAAAAAATCGTAAATGCATTTGAAATTTTGATGAAATTATTTTGATTAAAAAAAATCGTAAAATCGTAGATTTAAATCAAAATTTGCATTCGAGCACATGGCCCACTCAAAATGTAATTATTATTATTTATGTTGGTTATTTTAACTTGTTTTGTATCGCGAGTTTTGGTCAAGTGGCACAAATTATTTCATTGAATTACTTTCATTTTTTAAAATATTTTTTTGGTGGTAGGTTAAATTATTAATTATCCCGCTTAACTTATTATTTTTGTTTAATTGTAAGCGGGTATTCCATTTAACCCATCACTTTTTTATTTAATTTTTGAACGTTTATCGATTTATCCGCCATAAATAATGCCCATTTAATATTTCTGTGTCTTGCGAGAAGAAAATTTTGTACAACAGTATTTTTAATAAAACATACATTTTATGAGTATAAGTAAATTTCAGAATTAAATGAACTCAATAGAGACACAATGACATTTAAATTATAAATGTTGCACAATTAATTTAAAATATGAGTAAATACATTTTTTTTTTTTTTGATAACAAGTAAATACATTTTTTGTTCCTAGCAAATTTTACGATACCTGCTTTAGTCCCTAGCAAATAAAAAGGTTCATCGTCCCTAAAAAATTCAAAATAGACTCATTTAGTTGAAATTGTGGTCCCTCACAAATTCAAAAAAGATCCATATTAGTCTCTGAAAAGACTAAAATGGTTCTATTTTGAATTTTTTAGGGACCACGATGGGTCTTTTTATTTGCTAGGGACTAAAGCGGTCATCGTGAAATTTGCTAAGGACCAAAAAAAATATTTACTATTAAAATATTGTTGAGAGTTGAAACTGACGATATAAAATTTTGAGTAAACACCATTTTTACTCTCTGTCAATATCTACGAAGTCCTTTTTAGTCCCTGGGAATAAAAAAGGATCAAATTGGTCCCTGAAATTACAAAAAAGGGCCATGTTAGTCCTTATGTCAACTCCCAAATATGTAGAGTGGCCCTTTTCTTGTACTTTCAGGGACCAATTTGGTCCTTTTTTATTGCCAGGGACTGAAAATGACTTCGTAGATGTTGCCAGAGACTAAAAAGGGTGTTTACTCTAAAATTATTATTATATTTCTTTATATGTTACATACTGTTCTTAAATGATTACGTCACGCATAATAATTACTTTTGTAGGTATTACTTAATCACTAATGTTAAATTTTACTTAATAATTTAAAGGTATTGTAGAGGAAATATTTTTGTTAACAAAAAAATTATACCAATTTGCATTCCAAATGTACAGTTTCCTTTATTATAAGTTATATCAGCGAGACAGCGACTCAACTCAGTTCAAAAATAAAAAATAAAAAATAGTGAAGCAACTAATCAGTTCCAAAACTATAGTTACCAATTTAAATTCGATGTATATTAAAATAATATTTTAATTTAATTACAATATTAATGTAAAAAATTGTATCAACATGTAATGATTATTTTTGTATTACTAAATAAATTTGACATTTTATATATTGTTATACGTATTAAATGGTATGATAATATATTATAATAATAAAAGAACGAGTTTTTATTTTAGTTATTAAATAACAAAATCCTTTTAAGAATCATCTGAAATTGATAATTTATTTCCATTTTTTTTTTTTGGTAAAGATTTATTTCCATCTTTAAATGAAAAGAGGTAATGTAAACTTTTTCTGTAAAAAAGTAACATATCCCAACCCCAAAGTTAAATGATAACTATTCAATGAAAATATTTTACTATAATTATTCTTTTTTGGGTAAATCACAAATATTTTTCAAAGAAGATAATTATGTTCAAGCCGAAAATATTTATATTATAGTAGGATTAATTTTTTCAAAAAAAACAAAATTTACAAAAACTTATATTCTAAACTTTACTTAAGTAAAATCAACCATATATCATTTGAAACAATCTTTTTTAATTATTTTACCACAATTCTTGAAAATACTACCAAAAACACATACGTGATCGATTTATTTAAGGGTTGTAATAATAATAAATATATAAGAAGGAATGAAAAAGGTCAACTTTTTGGGCTCGGCGTTCAAAGGCAATATGAGGCCCCACTAGATGTGAGGCGCCACGTGTAACGGGTGACTGTGAACGTAACGGCTGGGTAAGAGGTTCAAGACTTCAAGTCGATGACTTCAAAATAAAATAATAAAAAAACCTGTTAGATAAAGCGTGTTTTGTAAAAATAATTTTTAAAACTATCTGTTTTTTTTTTAGAATTAAATTTAAAAAATATATTTGAGTTATTTTTGTTTTATGTTTTGATTTTTAATTTTTAAAACAAAATATAAATATAAAAAATATATATTTCATTAATATTCTATAAGATAATTTTAAAAACAAAATAATCAGAACAGAATCAAACAAACTCATTGTCTCTTTACCTCTGTTTTGATGATTAAATGAATGAAAGAAAAAGAACGGCTTAATTACATATTATAAAGCAGAAATATATATATATATAATATAAATAATAATTTGAAGTTATTTAGTTACAAATCATAAAACTTAGTCATTAGTGTAAACAATATGTTATTACACATAACATTTATTATTTTTTTATTTTCTGAAATGATTTTAACTAACTAGGTAAGATAGTAATGTCTCACGATACAGTCTCCCATAAAAAATTCCTCTAGTGTTAGAAAAACAAAATTTAAATATATGAAAAGATTTTATTTTATTTTTTTTGGATAGAATATGAAAATATTTTTGTAACAGTGAATCATCGCGTCGTCCGGTTTGTCACTGCTGTGAAGAGGAAGCGGTGACAGAGGCTTTAATGAATCTTATCATTTACAAAGACACGTGTTATGTGTATGACTCTGACGACCATTAATTCTGCTACATTCGTAAGGTCGAACAGTACTGTGATGTTCATGTTCACGAGAGATCCATATCCATATATGTATACATCACACATTTATTATAAGAGTAAATATTTTTTTTTGTACTCCATAAATTTTATGATATTTAGTTCTTATTAAATAAAAAGGTTATTTGTAGTTTTTAAAAAATTTAAAGTAGATCTGTTTTAGTCACTTGGAAGGACTAATATGGATTTTTTTAAATTTGTAAGGAACCATAATTTTAATTAAATGAGTCCATTTTAAATTTCTTAAGAAGCACGAATAATCTCTTTATTTACTAGGAACTAAATCGAGCATCATAAAATTTACCGAGGGATTAAAAATTTAACACAAATACATTTAC